TCTTCTTTGAGGGGTTTGTATTCTTTTGTGATTCTGTTTTCTTTTTATCCATATGTTTACTAGGCTGTTTTTCATTTAAAATTTCTCTTTTTTTAGGACTATTAACTTTTTTTTTATTTTGCAAGTTTTCCTGCTCATTTTTTTCTTTCAGCTTCAATTTTTTCTTTACTCACAGTTTTTGTTTTTTGTTTTTTTTTCTTCCCAGTTTATTTTTCTTTACACACAGATCTATCTTTTCCTCTGAGGTTTCTCTCCTAGTGGCTGACTTAGACACGCCCTTCTCTCATTGAGTATTACAAAATATTCATCTACATTTTATCCTAGTACTTTCGTGATTTCAGTATTTACATGTTTTACTTACCTGGTATTGATTTCAGGACAGAGGCAGGCATTCATCATTTTTTCCAAGTAGTTAGGCAGCTGTACCAACATCATTTACTTAATTTATTTTTTCTCCACTAATCTGAGGGGCTGTCAAATTTTTTGGGGTTAAATATTCTTGAGTGAGGCGTTCAAAAGCACTTTGAATTAGAGTGAGTAAATCAGAACTTAAACAGTAATGTCATCTTTTTGTGTTAATGAGAACCCTGTATTGCTGACAATGGTGGAATCAATGTGAGAAGCTCTCTGGTTATCAAGGGCACTGCTAATGAAGATGATCTTTGAATTTATGTACTTTAGAGTTAAATACATGCACAGGGGTTTAAAAAATCAAATGGTACAGTAGGGTTTGTAATGAAAAATCCTAGCCACCTTTCCCTCCTTTTTACCAGAGACAAAAGACCATTTCTGTTTTTTAATGCCTTTTGTTTGAAGACTGTGGCAGGAAACTTGTCAATTTCTTGGTATGATAGATAGGGACTCCTTCCTGTTCTCCAAAGAGTTAAAGGACCCTTTCTTTACCCTCTTGTTCCCCCTTTCAACTTTTTGCCAGCTTTGCTTATACATTGTTGAGGTTAATTCATATTCTGCTTTAAAATTAGGTTTTATATGCTTTATCAATAGGTCTATTCTACAATTTGAAAGTCAGTAATGGCATTTATAATGTTATGGGAAGGTAAGTTTACTGCAGACCTAACCAGTGGGTTAAAAATTTGTATCCTAAAGTTCCAATGTTATGTTAACGTTCAAAGGGATAATAAATGAAAGGATGATTCTTTCCTATATTTCACCTAGATATTGAAAATCATGCACATTTTAATTAGTTTCATGTTTGGATTGTGCTGTTGTTTTTTTTTTTTTAAGAAAATTGTTCTATTTTCCCTGCAGTTTCTGATTTACCCCTCTTTTGAAGGGGGACATATACTTTTCTTGACCATATCCCTAATATTTTGTATTCTTTTTTGCTCCAAATACATTTCTTTCTTCTAGAATCATACTTTCTACCCTATGACTATGACTTTGGGTTTTTAATTAGTCTTTTTTTTTTGAGAATATTGATAGTTACCTTGGATTCTGTGCTTTTATCGTATCCTCAATAATCCAGAACTTTAATCATACTGTCTACTAATACATCATTTTTTTTTTACCTGGAAATCTTTTGGAGCTCTGTGTTCTCTTCAGTGTGAAAAGCTTTACTTCAGTTACCAACCTAGGACTTCCCACTTGATGCATTTTTACATTAACCTACAGTTGTCTTCTTCCTAGGCTTATTTCCTTCTCTTGCTTTAGCACATTCTCAGGGTATATTCTTAACAAAAGGAAGGTATGCTGAGTCATTATATGTCTGAAAAATTTTTTCTCATTAAATAGGATTGATAGTTTAGCTGGATTCCAGATGATATATTTTCCCTAAATACTTTTAGCATTGCTGCAGTGTCTTCTGGTATGTAATATTGTTTATGAGAAGTCTTAATGCCAGTTTAATTTTGGGGTTTTTTTGTAGGTAATCTTTTTTCTTTTCCTCTCTGAAAGCTTAATTTCACAATAATGTATTTGGGTCTTTCATTTTTTTTTTTTAATTTATTTATTTGACAGAGAGAGACACAGCAAGAGAGGGAACACAAGCAGAGGGAGTGGGAGAGAGAGAAGCAGGCTTCCTGCTGAGCAGGGAGCCTGATGTGGGGCTCCATCCCAGGACCCTGGGATCATGACCTGAGCCAAAGGCAAACGCTTAATGACTGAGCCACCCAGGTGCCCCTGGGTCTTTCATTCTTATTCTTATATTTAATCCTTTTTGTTGTTTGGTAGGTCCCTTAAATTTTAAAGATTTGTGTCTCCTTTTCTGGGAATTTTTCTTGCTAAATTGCTTTGGTAATCTCTTCATTTTCACTGTTATTTCTTTCTGAAACCACTGTTGGTTGAGTAATAGATCTCTCATTTTGATTTTTCTCATATTTCCTATTATCTTTTTGCTTTTGATTTTGGGACATTCACTTGATTTTTGTCTTTTAACCTTTCTTTTGAATTCTTACATTTCAGCATTGTTTATTTTGGTCTTTGTCAGGCTGCTACAGGCTGTCTTCACATAGTTGGTGATTTGTGGTTGACACATTCATATTTAGAAATAAAGCATTGGGCTTATTGAGCATTCTATATATATTTTATATTTTAGTGAGGCTTGTCACTAGGTAGGCTTCACTATAGAGTTAATAGGCATAGAACTGGACATTAAAGGATATGTCCACATGTTGGAGGATTACATTAGTTTTATTGATATGGTAAGTTCAGTGTCTTTAGAAAAGAACACACAGGTTTTTTTTGTTTTGTTTTTTTTTTTTGCTCAAAGTTTATCAGGATGCTTTTGGCCACAAGCAACAAAAATCTTGATTCAAATTGGTTCATAAAATAAAATGTTATCCCATGTATCAAGAAGTCTAGAAGCTTGGCCCTAGGCACTGTATATATATAGTCAGTGACTCAGTACATTCATCAAAGAATCAGGTTTTTTCCTTTTGTCCAGTCTGTCATTCTCTTTGCCTGTGCTTTGTACTCACGATGGCTTTCTTTATGGTTCCTGGATGATGATTATGGTTCTAGGCATCACATGGATCTGGTTATATGCAATAGAAGAAAAAACTGTCTTTTCTTGTACTTCTCTCTCAGGGCTAGGAAACTTCCCAAGTCTCCTTAGCAGATTTCCTCTCTTAACTGCTGGCCAGAATCAGTTCATTCCCATTTTTAAATCAGTCACTGGCAAGGGGAATGCACTTACCACAATTTGTCAGGATTCATTAGGACTACTTCTGAAGCTTGTAAATGAGGTCCTTTACAGGGTAGGAGCAGATACCTAATGAGAATCAGAGTTTTGTCAGGGAAATAAATAGGAGAGGTGGATGCTGGGGGGGTCAATCATAGTCTTTCCCATGGGGGTAGGTGCCTGACTTCATTTTATCCACAGGGGTGGCAGGTGACTGGCTTATTTGCAGAATTTCACTTTAATTCCCTCTTTCTCAGCCTTACCTGATTTCTATCTATTATCATCATTATACTTGGCCTTTTTTCTTTTTTTCTTTCTCTCTTCTCTCTCCTCTCCTCTCCTCTTTTCTTTTTCTTTTGTTCTCCCCCTTTGCCTCTTATGCTTCTCTAAGGTCTTTTTGGCAGGCCAGCTGCCTTTTTATTTTTTATTTATTTTTTAAATTTTTTATTGTTATGTTAATCACCATACATTACATCATTAGTTTTTGATGTAGTGTTCCATGATTCATTGTTTGTGCATAACACCCAGTGCTCCATGCAGAACGTGCCCTCTTTAATACCCATCACCAGGCTAACCCATCCCCCCACTCTCCTCCCCTCTAGAACCCTCAGTTTGTTTCTCAGAGTCCATCGTCTCTCATGGTTCGTCTCCCCCTCCGATTTACTCCCCTTCATTCTTCCCCTCCTATCTTCTTTTTTTTTTTCTTAACATATATTGCATTATTTGTTTCAGAGGTACAGGTCTGTGATTCAACAGTCTTGCACAATTCACAGTGCTCACCATGGCACATACCCTCCCCAGTGTCTATCACCCAGCCACCCCCTCCCTCCCCCCCCCCACCACTCCAGCAACCCTCAGTTTGTTTCCTGAGATTAAGAATTCCTTATATCAGTGAGGTCATATGATACATGTCTTTCTCTGATTGACTTACTTCACTCAGCATAACACCCTCCAGTTCCCTCCACGTCGTTGCAAATGGCAAGATCTCATTCCTTTTGATGGCTGCATAATATTCCATTGTGTTTATATACCACATCTTCTTTATCCATTCATCTGTTGATGGACATCTTGGCTCTTTCCACAGTTTGGCTGTTGTGGACATTAGGCCAGCTAGCTGCCTTTTTAGTTACCATTCCCTTCATGTGTAAAGCCTGTGGCTTTTTCTGCTCAGTTTATTAGTCTAAGACACTTGTGATCATTTTCCACCTTCCAGAAATTTGTTGATATTTTTAATTAACTAATTCATTTCCTTTGTTGGTTCTTATTCATTCCTTTACTATCTTTAGATTATTAGATTTAGAAATTTTTGAGTACATAAAAAAGCAGAAGATAATTAATTCTCATGTATTCAGTATCAACAGTTATCACTTCATAACCAGTTCTGTTTCATCTGTACTCCCATCCATTCATGCATCTCCCCTCCCTCACTCCTACCATATTAGTTTGAAGCCTTTTACTTTCATTTTAATGTAGAAGGAGATCAAGTACATGCTCAGGTTTGCCATCTTGAATCAGGTCTAGTAGAATGTTTTGAGAGTTAAGATGACTCAGAGTAAAGAAACATATAGCCTTGAACTTTGAATTGTGTTTTCTGAATTTAGTTTTAGAAAAGTAAATTTTATATATTCCAACACTACACTTGAGCCAAATCAAAGATATAGCTTCTATATTATGACATCCTGAGGGAAGAAGGTAATCATATTAAGCATTACAATATATAGTATGTTAAATGCTAATGATCAAAATCATTGAATCCTTATTAGTCCTGGTCTTATTTAAAATTTGATATTTTAGCAGCCTTTTTCACCTTATTGCTGTTAATACTTTCCCCCCCTTTACTTCACAACCAAATCAACTCCAGATCAATGAATGAAATTAAAAATCTCCAGTACCTACCTCGGACCAGTGAACCCCGTGAAGTCCTCTTTGAAGATAGGACAAGAGCTCATGCCGACCATGTAGGTCAGGGGTTTGACTGGCAGAGTACGGCTGCTGTTGGGGTTTTGAAAGCTGTGCAGTTTGGTGAATGGTAAGTTAAGGGAACTCAACTGCAAGGTTGGTTAATGTTGTCTGAGAAGATGTGGACTCAATTTAAAAGGTTGGGGACTAACTTTTTTAGAAAGCGTGGTAAAATACTCGTAACATAAAACTAAACTGAAAAATCTTAGTCATTTTAAGTGTACATTTCAGTGGTGTTAAGTATATTTACATTGTTGTGAAGCAGATTTAGAAAACTTTATCTTGCAGAACTGTAACTCTATACCCACTTAACAGTAACTCCCTTTCTCCTCTCTCTCCAGCTCCTGGTAACCTTCATTGTACTTTCTGTTTCTGTGAATTTGACTACTTTAAATACTTCATATAAGTGGAATCATACAGTAGTTTTTTGTGACTGGCTTATTTTTGTTAGCATAATATCCTCAGGGTTCATCCCTATTGTACCATGTGTTATAATTTCCTTCCTTTTTAAGGCTGAATAGTATTCCATTATATGTATATGGTATATTAGCATTCATTCATCAGTGGACACTTGGGTTGCTTCCACCTTTTGGCTGCTGTGAACAAGTATCTCTTCATGTCTCTGCTTTCAGTTTTTTGGGTATATACCCAGAAGTGGAATTGCTAGATCATTTGATAATTTTATTTTTAATTTTTGGAGGAACTGCTAATACTATTTTGCATAGTGGCTGCACCCCCCCCTTTTTTTAAAGATTTTATTTATTTATTAGACAGAGACAGGAGAGAGGGAACACAAGCACGGGGAGTGGGAGAGGGAGAAGCAGACTTCCTGCTGAGCAGGGAGCCCAGTGTGGGGCTCGATCCCAGGACCCTTCTGAGCTGAAGGCAGACACTTAACAACTCAGCCACCCAGGCGCCCTGTTGCTTCACCCTTTTACATTCAGTTGGAACCCAAAGCTCAGAGCATAGAATTTAGCTTATTTAAAAACTGTTTTGCTTTTCATATTTATAACTTCAGAGCCTTCAGTATTACTATAGAGTTTGATCTGACCTTATTTAGAAGTATAGTTCAATCACAGCTTGACAGTATTTCAAGTACGTCATTCAGCTTTTTTCTCCCCCTCTCTACTTTGGAAACTGAAGGCGTGGTATTTGTGTGGCTGATACGTTTTCTCTCCCACTTTGTTCCATCCTGATGATGATATTAAAGGGTGGCCTGGAAATGCTGGGGCAGAGTGGTGAGAGGATGCAGATGCAACTAGTTTAGAATGAAACTGTTTTTAGTCATTGTTATTTCGATTTTGTAACAACTAATCTAATTTTCATTTTTTTTTTAAAACAGCTTTATTGGTGTTTTATTTTTAAAGTCTTAATTAAAAAACGTAAATGTACACTCTTGTTTGTAGGAGCTGTGGATCTATTTCTAGGCTAGTAATAGCATTTTTAGGAATAGAAATGAAATTTGTCATCATTTTCCATTATGAGATGCATGTTTCTAAAATTTGATTTTGTTAATCTTAGGAGTGACCAACCTCGCATAACCAAAGATGTGATTTGTTTTCATGCTGAGGATTTTACTGATGTTGTACAGAGACTTCAGTTAGACCTTCATGAACCTCCGGTTTCCCAGGTAAACTCTTGCTTTTTTATTACCTTTCGAGTGAGATAATAGAAATAAGTGCCTGTTACCCATTTTATTTTGCATTGATCTTATAGTTGGATACATGGGATGGTAAATTTAATTTTATTACTATTAAAAGCTGTGTGTGGAGGGTGTCAGAAAGTTATTAAAACAGAGCTTCCCAAGCAGAATGCTTGAAATCCGTTTAATCTTTGGGATGCCAGGCGGGCCCAGATGGTCAGAGGGTCTAGGCTGCTCAATTCCGGCTGGAAGCAGTCTCCCCTGATAACCCCATTGCACTGTGTGTCCTCACATGCAAAAGGTTGAAAGACACAGGAGCAGATAAATGTTGTCCTTCTGTGTGGCAAAGAATACATTATTGATACCTAGCTGCATTTTGAAACAGTTGTTTAAATGATTCCTTAGGCCATCCTGACTTTAACCTGTACTTTGTTACTAGAGAGGTAGTAAAGTATGAGGACAAGTGTTTCCCAGGCATTACAGGAAATTTTAGAAAGTTGTCTGTTATTTAGTATTGCTTGGCTTTAATTTGGCCCTACTCCTGTTTTCCTGTGTTAATTCTGATGTTTTATTTGAGTAAATTTCTACATATTTTAAAGTGTCATGCAACTTTCTTTTCTCTGCAGTGTGTACAGTGGGTGGATGAAGCTAAACTAAACCAAATGAGGCGGGAAGGCATTCGTTACGCTAGAATTCAGCTGTGTGACAATGATATTTACTTCATCCCTAGAAATGTCATTCATCAGTTCAAAACAGTGTCAGCAGTGTGCAGCTTAGCTTGGCATATAAGGCTTAAACAGTACCACCCTGTTGTGGAAGCCACTCAAAACACAGAAAGCAGTTCTACCATGGACTGTGATTTAACTGGAAAGCAAGAATTAGAAGTTGACTCCCAGTGTGTGAGGGTAAAAACTGAATCCGACGAAACATGCAGAGAGATGCAGCTTTTGACAACTGCTTCATCATCCTTCCCTTCATCGGAACTTAAACTACAGCAAGATCAGATGACTCAGCCTGTTCCCGTTTTAAAGGTGGAAAGTAGACTGGACTCTGACCAGCAACACAATCTACAGGAACATTCGAGCACTCCTGTGTGATATGTACATATTCAAACACATTTTTTAACTTTTTTAAATTTTGATGTGAAGTTATAGTTTTATAACTGGCTTAAGTTAAGTTTTATTGGAGAAATCTTGCCTATAATTCTATAAAGAGAAATGACATTCCACAAATGTCAAGCATATCTTTTTTACACAGATTATGCAAAGTTAAGAGTTGTATCTTATCCCGTTAGTACAGTATGTAATAGTGGGTCTGCTGCTACTTTCTGTTTTAAGGTGTGAGGTAACAATTCAATCTCTTCTTCAAATCAGACAGAATTCTCTGGAATAACAGATTCTTATTTGGTAAATTATTCACTTCCCGTAATTTTATCTTGCCTCGTCTCTTGCCATATTTGCTGTTTTATGATAGAAGATCAGATTTATGCTTTGGTACTTGTGTCTTTATGGCACGGATTCAGTTACTACAGTAAAAATGGCAAAAGTTGCAGGAAGGAGTTCTTGCATCTTGTTCATGGGCAAGTAAGTTCCAACCGCAAAGAACAGGTAGTTTCTAAGGAAAATTCAGTGGCTCTCTGGTTTCTTAACAAAAGAGAAAGCACAGCACTTTCTGATCCAAACTGTCTTTTTTGTATCTGTTATTTAAAGCCCAGTGGATATTTCAATTAAAAATATCTAAAGATGAATAGTCCTTGGTCATTTTTATCCATGGTTCATTAATTTCTTCTAGAATACATGGTAACTGTGGAAGATAATTGGGTAAAAGAGATAATGTTGACATGATACTCTATCATTCTGCTACCTAGCATCCTCACACTTTGTGTGGATACTTTTGCTTCCTAAATTGATCACAAGTATCAAATTTAGAGAATGATACCAATCTTTCTGATGAGGCTGCCATATTTTGTGCATGAAACTTAGGAAAAACCATTTTTGTCACTTGGCATCAACTTCTTCATGATAAAGATCTGTTGAGACACTTCAATTCACAGTTTTAACTGGTGAATACTTGGGTTTATTTACTATTATTCTGTGTTGCTATGGTCTAATAAAAAATATGGCACTAGACTTCATCCTAGAGTTTCAGGTAACCTACTGCTTAGTGCCTGAGTATTTAAATTTTTCTTTTTTTTTTTTTCCAAACAGGCACAGTTCATATAGCTGGTGTAGTCTTAACTTTCTGTTATTTTAGAATGTTAACATGATACACATTTCACTTTCTCTTAGTTAATAATACAATAGGCCTTTTGTTCATTAAAGGAAGAGTATTCCCCACACCTAAGACCAGATTCTTGTATCTACCTGGTTATTGTGCAATTCGGAGATTTTTTTTTCCTGGAGGGTGAGATTTGGAATATTTACATTTAACATAGGCAAAAAAAAAGATGCTGCTTTATTATGTCTGTCACCATGAAAACTTAGCTGCATCTTTTGAAATATCAAATATGAATTTTCTCTAAAATATTCTGAAATAGGCTAAATCTTATATAAATATTACTTTGTGCAATATCGTTGTGTAGTTAAATGCATATTAGCAAAGTATAGAGGTCACTGTGTAAACCGATAGAAAAGTAACCATCAGCAAATACTGCAGTGATTAGTTAGAATCTGTATTATTCCTTATATATATATGTATATGTATGTATTCTCTGTTACAAAGGATGAAGACAAATAGAGAAACATTTCAATGTAAACCATTTATGAATTGGAAGTGATGTTGGTTTTAGTTATCTTTGTAAATAAGGTAATTAGAATGGTATGAAAAGTAATGTGATTGTTGCAGGGGTGTTTTAAAATCTTGGGTATAAATTCTAGGGTAAATTCTAGTTTATCAAGACTAGTTTTTAAAGGGACCTGCCTTTGAGGGTGTTTTTTGTTATTTTGGAGGGGGGGAGGTTAATCACAAAAGTATGTGGATTGGGTTTTCTTGTTTTTGTTTTTCTGTCCAGAAGAATTTCATAGAGCTTTACTAGGCTGTGCAAAGTAGAATTCTTCTCAGGCAACATTTGCTTTTTAAAATAATCATGAAGAACAAGGTTGTTAAAGCAAAAACTTTTTTTATTTTTATTTTCTTGTCTTCCAAGATCCAATTTCCCCATCTCCCACTTGCCATCCAGCAGATGCCATCTGTCATCTAAGCTGGTCATTACTAATAAACAAGGAGACTGTCTCCTGACAGCCAGCACTGTGTATAATCACTCAGGAACCAGCGGATCTGCAAAGACCTACAATCAAAAGCAAATCCCCATTTTCCTTTTATAAAATATTTCTACCCTCACCTCCAATATAAACACATTAAAAGAGTATACAAATGTTTAAAATCATGTACTAATAAATTAATTGTATGTTAGAATTGCAATAGAATGGAGAGAGAAACATTTAGCTAGTAATGTATCTGGAAACTGAATGTCCTATGTGAGTATTAGATTTAATAGCATGCTTTAAAGACTGATGAATATAAAAGCTGAAGTTTTGAGTTTCCTTACTGCTTTCAAAGTTGTATCCTAGTTTAGTGATACAGATGATTGCAACTTTTCTAAATCTTGAAATTATTTGGTTTGGTGGAGTGAGGCATGGAGCAATCCGGCGTCTTCTGATTTGTAAAGTAGTGATGGCAGTGAAGTTGTATCTGAAATTTAAGCTGATCTTCCTTTTTGGTATATTATCTGTTGTGCCAACTCTTTGAGATTACTTGCAGAATGTGGCTGTAAGTTGGAGTATTTTGTGGAGCAGAGGGATATTTTAAAAATGTGCTTATGGAAAGGACCCAATAAATGAATATTCCTAACTTAGTAACTAGAATGATTTTATGGTATTCATAAATAAGGATAAAAGTTTTCCCCCTGCCTCAGAAGTCATTCTGTAATTACCAAGATATGCTAGGAGTAGGATTATGATTCAGAGGTATCCCAAATTCATAAAGCAATAATAATAAAAACCTACATATTAGTTTTCCCCTCCAAAGTTTTAACTCTTTAAAAATGAATTTCTAAGCTTAATTGTACTTTTAATTTGCTTATTCAGTACTTAGAATTTGTTTCACTGGTACTTTATTATTTTTAATTAAAAACTTGAAAGGTGCCCTTTCCCCTTGGAGACAGTTGGAATATCAGTTGACAGGTATTACAAGCTCTTGTAGGGGGAAAATGGAGCTTGTTTAATAAAATCCTTTACCAAACCTTAGGAAAAGAGGTCTTGCAACATCTTGCATCAGTCTTAATAGGCATAAAGTTCACACTTAATGCCTGGAGAAACTTCTGCTTATTGCCTTTCCCTCTATAAATAGTGTCTAGAATGAAAACTAATTTAGAAACGAGACTCCAAGATACAAGAAAACCCTTAGTGAATATATTCTTGATCATTAATATTAGCCCATTATATTTTCATCTGTATTTGCCATTAAAGCTTATTTGCATTTATACCTTTAGGATAATTGAGTTTGTGTCTTTCTAATCTATTTTGTCATTGCTACAGGTCTAAAAAAAGAGCCTTTCACTAGTACATGGCAGAAATTCATATTTCTGCTAAGTTTTTTTTTTTAAACAAGTTATAGCTGTATTTATTGGTCATGCAGTAAGTAGAGGAAATGTACAAGACAAATGTTTTTCTTTAGCACATAAGGGACCTATCCTCATCCTGAAAGTTTGTTGCTTTAAAAGCAAGTATCTCCATAAATATTATGGCCTTCCATTTCCTTCATAAATTTTTTATGATCCACTTGTGCATGTAGTTGAGACCACTGTCTCTTAATATAGCACTTTTCAATTCTCTAAAGAAATACTTATGTACTACTTCTATCACATGTTGTAAATTTTCATGTAATAGTGTTTTCTGTGACTAAACTCCATTTTGATTGGCAGCTAAGACTTTTTTTTTTCCTGTGGCTTTAATTTATCTAAGAGGTCTTTGCATATAGATGAAATGTATAATTTGCCTGGCGGACTATTTGCGTTGTGTGGCCTTAGTTTGTTTATTGACATTAACGAGTGTTTTAAAAAGGTTTTTAATGAATAGTCTTAAATCTAAATTTGTGTGAATAATAATCCTTTTAACACAGTGCTTTTTGTAGCTGTCTAAGTGTGTTAAATTGTTAAGCTATTTCTTTGTAAAATAGGACAATGGAATGCATAGAGGTTTTTTTTTTCCCTGTAAAGTATTTTTTTAATAAACAAAAGTCTGATTTGTCCTTTACTTATGTTTCATGAGAAAATGAATAGTACATGTGAGTTCTAGGTACCTGGAACCTGTTTTTAAAGTATTAATCCCCCACTTTCTTTGTCCCCTGTCATTTTCTAATGTTCTAGAAAATCTTGTGACTTTTCTTTCCTAAAGAAAGAAAAGGTCAGAGAAAGAAAGAAAAGGTCAGAGATAATGGGAAAATTCCATCATACGGAGATGCAACTAGTTTTTGGGAAGAAGAAAAGCTACACTTGGCATTTGTGGCACTTGTGCCCTCTGATGCTTGTATCTACTTGAGAGGACAATCTTAAATTTTTAATCTGGTGATGTCCATAGTTTTCAAAATACATGCAAGCAAGCAGTGTTAATGAAGATGGTGAATAGACATTTTGGATGTCATTAATGTATTAAGTGACAACAATGCAATGGGGTTTTTTTCCTCATGAATTTTTGTGTGAACTTTTCTTTGAGATACTTGCTAAGCCCTGATAGACCTTGGTTCTGATTAGGAAAAGAAAAGGACGGGAACTAATGTTCTCTGAGTAACTGCTGCAGGCCAGGCACTTTCTAGGAGCGTATCTCGTTTAATCTTCACAGACCTTAGTATTTAGTAGGCAGATAATAAATACAGGTGAGAAAGCAGGCTTGTTAGGTTGAATAAATTGCCTGAGATCACACAGTTCATTAATTGGGGCAGGGATTTGAATGCAGTTCTTGGTTCAAAGCCCATGCAGTGTTGTGGCAGCCTTAGAAAGGACTGAAAACTTGGTAAAAAGGGGCACCTGGAAGATGATTTGCTACTTCCTACCATTCCATAATGCAACTTACCTGATTTCACTTCTAACATGAATTCCCCCCAAAGTCTCTGTGCGCTAAGCAATGAAGTAAAATGCTTGTAATTTATGTCTTAAAGCAAATACTTAGATACACAATGACTTTTTCATTTGTCATTTATCCATTTGGGTTTTTTTCAAGTTGGCCCTTTGTCCTGAAACCCAACAGAATTAAGGGGAAAAGCTGTCAGGAAGCAAAATCAGAAGTGTGCAATATAAAAATAAATCAGGCCTGGGGGAAGTAATTTTTAGTTCTGTGGGAGTTACTTTTACCTCTTAGTGGCTTTTTCCTTGTCAGGAAAATGGGACAACTTCACCTTACCCCAATTTAATAGATAAGAAATGCTCTTAAAGCTTAGAATCGCATTTCTTAGGCTTTCTGAAGTGGTAGCTGGTGTGACGATTATCTGTCACTAGCTTTATCTGAGTCAAATGCTATATGCAAGCAAGGACACCGCTTCGAGTGCAGTGGGAATGGCCGTTAGGGGTCAGTGTTCCATTAATGGCCAAAAAAAAGCGTGCAGTACAGAGGAGGAAAGCAGCTTAAAACCTTACTAAGGTATTCTTAAATACTCGCTTGAGGGCGCAACCATTCTATTCTCCTGACCTCTGTCAGCCTGCTTGAATTCTTAACCTAGAAACAGTTCTTCCCGCCTCCACCTTCCCCTATCCTGATTTGCGAAAAGTGCCCTGGAACTGCCCCAAGCCGTCCCTCTTCTTCCCTTGGCGTCGAGCACTCAGCTTAAATCTCAGAGCTGTTGGGGGGCGGGAGAGGAAGCCAATCACTAAGCCGCAGCCCACCTCGCCCTTAGTCCCAGGACGGCGTAAATTCAGGAGAACGTCCGTTCGTTCAGCCAAGACTGAGAACCTATGTGCCAGGCTCCTGTCAGGCCCCAGGCTCTGACCTCACGGAGCCCACAGCCCTTTGGGGAAGACGGGTAGTAAATAATGAAGCACAAAGAAACCTGTAAAAGAAAGATAAGTGTTACAAAGGATTGAACGGGGAGCTATAATAAGAACAGGACCGACCCCCTTTAGATCGATGGCTGGGAAAGTCATTTCTGCGGACGTGACCTGGAGGTTGATCTGCCTTGGCCTTGACGCTCGAGTAGCTCCGAGCCCCTCCATCCCCAAGCCTGGCAGAGGCTCGGCGGCCAGGCCCGGGCGGGGGCGGAGCCATCTGAGCAGCAAAACCCGGAAAGCGGAAGCCGCAGCGGGGCTGCACCCGGGTTTGCGGCGCTGCCCTCGCCCAGCTCTCGGCCGGCTGAGTCACGGCCAGCCGGCCGGCCCGGCCTAGCAGGACGCACGCCCGTCGTCCCGCAGCCGCTGCCTCCCGCGCCGGGGGGGCCTTTGGCCTTCACCCGAACAGCGGGGCACTGAGCCTCTGGCCATTGCCGTAGCCGCTGGCGGCTAGCGAAGACGTCCGTCAGTTTTTATCCCCCTCCTTTCCCAGTTCATTCTTGGCTTCTCGGTGTGTGTGTGGGGGTCAGTCCGGTGACCCTGTAGGTCGGGCTTGGAGGGCGCCGGGTCTGCGGCAACAGACTGCGCTCCTCTGGGCGCTGCGCGGCCCGCTGCCTCCGAGGCCCCGGCGGCCTCCGCGGTCTCCATGGTAACGGCCGCGCCGGCGTCTCGGCCTCTGGGGGAGGATGTGGCCTGCGGGGCCCGCTGTCTCGCCCCCGGCCTCATGGCGGGGCCGGGGCCACTGAGGAGGAAGGTCCCGGCCGCCGGACTGCGGGGCAGCGGGCACCAGGTGAGAGCCGGACGCCGGGGAGCGGAGGATGGGGGCGGGGTGTAGCTCAACCTCCAGCCACCACCCCTTCCCCTCCCCTGCATCCCTGTAACACGCTCGCACCAAATATCGCAGAGAGGCTTCTCGGGGCGCCACTGCGCCAGAGGTTTTTGGTTTGCTTCTGTTTTTCTCTTTTTTTTTCCTGGCAAAGAGCCGGAGAGAGACAGTCAGCAGCTCATGGAGAGGCTGAGAGAAGCGATTTTTGCGTTCTCCCCAAACTGGGAGAGTACCTTTCGGCAACCGGACTCACCAACTGGTTTTCCTTCATTTTCAGTGAAATCCCATTCTCTGCCTGGAGACGCAGATGGCCTCAAATGAGAGAGATGCTATATCGTGGTACCAAAAGAAGGTAATATCAATCTTTTTTATTTGTAAAGCATAGTTCCTGCAGAAAGCTCCCGCAAAGACTATCCTGCTAGTTTTTCCTGAGCTTGGTAGTGCCAGGAGTTCCTACATGGTGTCTCTCAACTTAGATGGAAAACCGATGCACAAGGTCATTAGGTCTTTTAAACTCAGCTCCAGGTCCCCGAATAAGATTTTCTAGTCCCCCCCCCCCCTTCTCCGGCTGCATCACACAATGCCACAGCAACGCTTTGAAAGTTTGCTTCTGATCAAACTGCTGTTGTTTTTTTTTTAGACCTGAAACTTTTATCTTCACAGCTCAAATTGGTACTGTCAGCAGTCTTACTGAGCTGCCGGTTACCTTTTATTCCTCTCTAGTTTTCCTACTGATGTTTTCCTTACGAAGTGGAAATATCTTGTAAGGTAATAATTTGAAATATCTTGGACATTGCTTTTTAGCTTACTTTTAGATCCAGCTACTTTAGAGTTTTGAAGGAAACAGCCCTTTGAAATAATTTATTCTAACCTCTGAGAAGCATAATCATTTTCCAGGTATCATATTGATACTTAATAGTTTCATGACTTTTGTGAGATTTGACCTAAATAGAAGGATTTTCCTTTGCATCATTTAAATAGCCTGCTCCCTGTTTCAGATTGGAGCATATGATCAGCAGATATGGGAAAAGTCAATCGAACAGACTCAGATTAAGGTAAATTGATTTCTTTGATTCTAGCTTTGTTTTACTGAATTAATGTGAAGAGTGGATTGCACTTTTTATAAAATCTGCACTTATCCACCAAGTATGGATATTCTTTATTCTTTGACGTTTATAAGGAAGACAACACTGCAAGCAGAATGACAAATGACAATTGACATTTGGCCTCAGTATCAGGGAAATAGAAAGGAGTGGTTGGTCTATGATGAGTTAGAAAGCAAATGTCCCCTATAAAGGGGGTTGTGGCTGCTTATGCCGGCAGTGTGGCCCCAGGATTGCCAGAGCCTCAGAGTTTTCAAGAGAAGCAGGGAAGATGCATTTTTATGTGAAATATCCAGATTTTTTAGAGCGTCTTCCCTTTTCCCGCCTTTCCTCCTCTTCTACCTCCTCCTCCCACCTCATTCTCCTCTTCTTTTTTCTTTCTTCTTTCTCCTTTTTCTCTTCCTGTGCAAGCCAAATCAAATCCATTTGTGGCCTGAATCACTTTTTCAGTTACTGGTTTAGAGTATGGTTTTAAGTTCCCAGGTTCTTAAACTTTTTTCTACACTGCTTTTAGAACTGTGCAGATTCTTAGGGTAATTTCATGTTAACCAACCAAAAACTGACATGGATTCAGAATGCCAGTTTATTAATTTATAATAGCAGAGGAGAGGGTTAAATAACCTAATGTTCCAAAGTCAGGGTTGTGGGCTCAACATGTACTGGAGGAGATGGGAGGGTGGTGCAAATTAGTCATGGGAAGGTTGCTTGGTAGTCAAATGTAATCAGATAGTCTTGAGAGATGTGGAAAAGCCTAAAGACCATCCCTGCCCCTAAAAGAATGTCTCTCTATGTTGGCTTTAATACCTAGATCAACAGATTCAGGGTCTCACTTCCTTGGAATGTGCTGAATAATGGCGGGCAGATTCTTGTTTTTGGACCTTGCCTTGCTATTTTAAAGATTTGCTGCAGACCCTTTCTTAACACTTAAAAAAAAATGTATTACACCCACAAATACATATAATTTAATAGTTCTGTTTATCTCTAAGTCACATTGATTGGACTGGGTTGTTTAAATTTCAGGTGAAATACATTTAACCAACACTTGTAGGGTGCATTCTTTTTATAGGCCAATCAACTAGCAAGTTGTTGAAACTACACGGTACGTGGCTAACTTTCACAATTTCGTACAGTCCTTGATTTTTCTATATTAAAGATATGGGGTAGGATGAATAACACCCCACATTTTATTTTGTAACTCTCTAAATCCTGTTCTGTTAGTTGCTGTAAAGTATTGATAGTAAGTAAGGTGTAATGGAAAGAGCATAGAACTGGGAGTTAGATCTTTTTGTGATCTCTAGCCTTGTGATCTTGAGCAGCACTGTAGTTTTCCTGGGTTTTGGTTTCCTTATCCTTAAAAATATTTTATTTACTGCTATAAAATTGCCTTACCTACCTTCTTCCCCTGCCCAACTAAAGATTTTCTCATCTCTTAATTTCATGCCATTTTATGCATACCTTCCTTTTAGTATACCATATCAAAGTTACCTGTTAACCTGTGCATCCTCATAGGCCTCAAAGGTAGAAATTGTGTTTGCATTACCTTCTTAGAACATCTTGATTCATACTAGGAACTCAGTGTCTGTTGCTGTGTTTAATTAACACCCTCTGTTATGTCTTTTTATTCATTGTTCTGTCATAAGGTAATCTACCTAATTATTCCTTAATGTATACTTTTAATTTAGCATCAGTGGAAAGAATAAAAGACAACTCTAAAAATTTTGCTGAGCTGATGTACCAACATGTTCTAGGTGCTAAGAATACAGTAAACAAGAGAGACTTGAATTTCACAGTCTAATGGTGGTGGGAGAAAAGCCAAGATATCTTTTTATTTTTTAAAAAGATTTTATTTATTTATTTGACAGAGAGAGACACAGCGAGAGAGGGAACACAAGCAGGGGGAGTGGGAGAGGGAGAAGCAGACTTCCCGCAGAGGAGGGAGCCTGATGCGGGGCTCGATCCCAGGATCCTGGGATCATGACCTGAGCCTAAGGCAGATGCTTAATGACTGAGCCACCTAGGTGCCCCCCAAGATATCTTTTTAAATATGTTTAACTCTTAGATAAAAATTGACCAAAGTATAGGATACAAACTATTTAGTGCAGTTTAAAAATAGATTGTACAAATATATTTTTTAACAAAAAATTAAAGAAAATTAAAAATAATGAGCCATATCAACATCAGACCACCGTACAATCAAATTGGAAATTATGTAATAAAAATATAATTTGAGGCAAGAATATACAATGGGGAAAAGACAGTTTCTTCGGGGCTCAACATCACTCATCATCAAAACCACAATGAGATGTCACCTCATACCAGTCAGAATGGCTAAACTCAAAAACACAAGAAATAACAAGTACTGGTGAGAATGTGAAGGAAAAGGAAACCTTGTGCACTGTTGGTGGGAAGGTAAATTGGTGCAGCTGCTGTGGAAAACAGTAAGGAAGTTGCTCAAAAAATTAAAAATAGAATTACCATATGACCTAGTAATTCTACCACTGGGTATTTCCCTAAAGAAAACAAAAACACTACTTCAAAAAGATATTTGCACCCCTATGTTTATTGCAGCATCATTGACAATAGCCAGGATACAGAAGCAACCTAAGTGTCCATCAGTAGATGAATGGATAAAGAAGATATTACATACACATACACACACACACAATGGAATACTACTCAGCCATGAAAAAGAGTGAGATCTTGCCATGTGCAACAACATGGATGGGCCTAGAGGATATAATGTTAAGTGAAATGAGTCAGACAGAGAAAGACAAATACCATATGATTTCACTCATGTGGAATTCATGAAACGAAAAAAATGAATAAACAAAAAAGGAGACAAAACAGACTCTTAAATACAGAGAACAAACTGGTGGTTGCCAGAAGGGAAGTGGATGATGATGGATGGGTGAAAGAGATCAGAGGGATTAGAGGGTACCTATTGTAATAAGTAACATATAGAATTGTTGAATCATCATATTGTACACCTGAAACTGTATGTTAATTACACTCCAATAAATAATAAAAGGTTGTTACCACTGGAAAGAGAAAAATTTGCAGATGTGAGGACATGGCACTAAAAAATAGCAATGCTTCAATTAAAAAATATAATTCAAAATTATAAAAGATGTAAATTTTAAAAATCTTAACTATGAGTCTGAAAAGTGATGTGAACTCTTCCACAAATGTTTATTGGGCTACTGTGTTTAAAGATTTTGCTAGATGCTGAGCACAAGGGGAAAAGTACTTATAAACAGAAGTATAATACTTGTTTAAGAAAAGAACAAATAGCCCTGTCTGTGTCTGATTGGAGTATAAGGTATATAGGTGAGATGATAGGCCATATATCAGTTTGGAGCTGATTTGACTTCTTCACTAAGAACTTTTGATATTATTCTATAGAAAATGGAAACATTTTCATGGTTTTTGAATAGGGAGGCCACATGGTGTTTGTGTTTTTGAAGGATAGAAGGACAGACATTATAACAAAATCTATGGAATGTTTCTGAAGTAATACTTGGTGAAATTATATCACTCTAAATATCTATATGAACAAAAAATGTCTAGATTGACTAGGTAGAAAAAGTCACAATGATTCAAGTTAATATATGAAGAATGTAGAGAAAGAAAAAAATTCCAAGTAAAGAAGGGAAAGAAATACCAAAAATAAAACTAAAGCAATCATTATGTATTTTTCAATTGCCAAGTATTTGTTGAGCTCCTACCTACCACGTGTCAGGTAGTAGGCTAGGCACTAATGTCTACATAGTGTTGAGCAAAAACACTCAATATTTTTCTTTTCATGGAGCTTAAAGTAAAGTGGGAGAGAAACAATAATAAAAATCCTATTGAATAAAATTTACTTATTTTTACAAGAAGAAGAGCTTATTTACAAGCCATTACAGTTATAACAAGGGAAATGGACTTAGTCAAGGAGGTCAGAGAAGCCTTCCCTGAGGAACTGATACTTAAATGAGATCTGAAGGATGAATAGCAGTTAATTAAGTCAAGAACAAATACACTAATCCTCCACAAACTCTTTCAGAAAACAGAGGAGGAAGTACACTTCCCAACTCATTTTATGAGATCAGTATTATCCTGATTCCAAAGCCAGACAAAGACATCACAAGAAAAATCATTGTGAACATAGGTGTGAAATCTTTGAGAAAATATTAGCAAACCAAATTCAACAACATATAAAATGTATTATCTACTGTGACCAAGTGGGGTTTATCCTAGGAATGCAATGTTGGTTTAACATTTGAAAATAAATTAATGTAATATACTGTATTGATAGAATAAAGGACAAAACATGCATGATCTTCTCATTAGAAACAAAAAAAGCATTTGACAGAATTTAATGCCCCTTAACAATAAACTAGAAATAAAAAGTAATTTCCTCAATCTGTCAAAGGGTGTCTACAAAAAACCTGTAGCTATAGGTTAGGATTTACTCCAGAATATCCCACTGAAAAATGAAAAGATGAGCCATAGACTGAGAGAAAATATTTTATATTTATATATTTTTTATATATTTAGAGTATTTGTATGTACAATATATAAAGAACTCCTACAACCCAGTAAGAAGACAATCCAATACAAAAATGGGCAAAATATTCAAATGGATATTTTACCAAAGAAGGTAAATGTGAATGGCTAATGGGCACATGAAAATATGCTCAACATTGTTAGTCATTAGGGAAGTACAAATTAAAATCATAGTGAGATACTACCATACACCTGTTAGGATGGCTAAAATTTAAAAGACTGACCTTACCAAATGTTGACAAGGACATGGAGGAATTAAAATGCTCTTATACTGCTGGTGGGAATGGAAAGTGGAAAATAGTTTGGTAGTTTCTTAAAAAATTAAATATGTACTTTTGATATACCCAGCATTTCTAGACCTAGGTATCTATCCAGAAGAAATAAAAACATATGAGCACATGCAA